TGTTACTCTTGACGGAATGCACTAGATGTATTTAGCATCCCAACATTACTGTCACTGTTACTCTTGACGGAATGCACTAGATGTATTTAGCATTCCAACATTACTGTCACTGTTACTCTTAACGGAATGCACTAAATGTATTTAGCATCCCAACATAACTGTCACTGTTACTCTTGACGGAATGCACTAGTTGTATTTAGTATCCCATCATAACTGTGTCCTGTTACTATTGATGGAATGTACTAAATGTATCTAGTATCCCAAAATAACTGTATCACTGCTACTCTTGATGGAATGTACTAGATGTATTTAGTATCCCAACATAACTGTCACTGTTACTCTTGACGAAATGCACTAAATGTATTTAGCATCCCAACATTACTGTCACTGTTACTCTTGACGGAATGCACTAAATGTATTTAGCATCCCAACATAACTGTCACTGTTACTCTTGATGGAATGCACTAGTTGTATTTAGTATCCCATCATAACTGTGTCCTGTTACTTTTGATGGAATGTACTAAATGTATTTAGCATCCCAACATAACTGTCACTGTTACTCTTGACGGAATGCACTAAATGTATTTAGCATTCCAACATTACTGTCACTGTTACTCTTGACGAAATGCACTAAATGTATTTAGTATCCCAACATAACTGTATCACTGTTACTCTTGATGGAATGCACTAGATGTATTTAGTATCCCAACAAAACTGTGTCACTGTTGCTCTTGATGGAATCCACTTGATTCATTTAGTATCCCAACATAACTGTACCACTGTTATTCTTGATGGAATACACTAGATATATTTAGTATCTCAACATAAACAATGTTACTGTTACGCTTGATGGAATGCACCTGAATGCATTTAATATCCTAACATAAAACGTGTCGCTATTATTCTTGATGGAATGCACTAGCTGTATCTAGTATCCCAATATTGCTATGATATGAAAAATAAATATGAAAATTGTAATTAGAATTGGTGTAAATATAATGTGTATATGCTGATGATGTAAATTATTAGGCGTATACTAATGTTATAACTGTATGCGTATGCTAATGTTGTTAATATATGTGATCAGTGTACCAGTGCCATGAACCACTTGCTTTTGAAGACTATTCAACATCAAGAGGCAAGACAGGATCCCGGATACTGAGGTCCTTACCCAAGCTAACCTACCCAGGCAATCCATGTAGCTCGCATTCCAGACTACCGGCGTTGCAAAGAAAATCTTTTACGGCAAGCTTGAACAAGGTAAACGCAACAAAGAGGTCATATAAAACGATATAAAGACACTCTGAAGACGTCATTTAAGAACTTTGGTTTTAGCTATGACACGTGGGAGAAGACTGCTCAGGACATGGTCTGTAGCACTCTTCCATCACTAAAGATGCTGAGGCTTGCGAGGCCAACAGGACAACCACGGCAGAACAACGGAGGCAGGCCAGGAAATCCTGAGCCAGTAACCTCACTATCAGTGTTGCTACCATTTCCTGTCCACAATGCCACAGAACATTCATGGCACACATAGGCCTCCTCGGCTACCTACGCACCCAAAGACCATTTGTTCTCGATAAAATACTGGATGACTAAAGTCGTCCTCATCGACTTGACGGACGAACTATATATAATATGCGTATGCTAATATTGTAAATATAATAAGCGTACATTAATGTTGTAAATATATGCGTATGCTAATGCTGTAAATGTAATATATCTATGCCAATGTTGGAAATGTAATATGCATATGCTGATGTTTATAAATGTAGTATGCGTGTGTTGGTGTTGTAAATGTAATGTTTGTATGGTGACGTTACTAAGGTAAATGTAATCATAACAACGTAAACCTTCGTCTTAGCCTATATGGCAAAACATTTACCAAGACGAGGCCTTGTGGCTGATTTTCAATAATATCATAATAAGAGTTCAGTCTTAATTGTTTTAGCTACATTTAGTTTTTAGTCTGTACCCAGCTTTTAATGAAAAAGACTTACCACCTTAATACTGAACAGCAAATCGATTGCTTCCTTTATGAAAACCATTAGACCTATAAAAAAAATCAGAAAGTATACTTTTATTAAATTTGAAATTAAATTTACTTTATTACAGCATTTAGTCACTGTCTCAAAATAAATAAACTGTATTTAAAGATACAATTGCTAATAAGCTACCTAGGTGTAGTGTTATGGGAACGCGTGGGAACGGTGTACCCTTAATTTGTTTGAACTCGCCATTGTCCCCACCCCGCATCTGAATAACAGGTGTTGCGATAACAAAGTCCAGCAAAGATCCCAACAATGCGGCTAGTTATCGACTAAGGGTCTGTTCGTTCGCCAAGTTTGTTCAATATCTACATCAACGACCTACATGTAACACAGTCACGCAAATTTATGCATGCAGATGACATTGCTCTCGGTACCCAAATTCACTCATTTGCTGAGCTTGAGAGGGTACTGAATAAGGACCTGAATGATATGACGGATTTCTTCAAGAAATGGCGTTTACAGACAAGCACAACAAAGGCAGTCTCCAGTGTCTTTCACCATAACAATACAAGTGCGAACCGTGAGCTTTGCATCCTCCTCAACGGGCAGAAAATAAAACATGGCCCGACGCCAACATACCTTAGTGTGACTCTGGACAGATCATTGACATTCTACAACAGCATGAAGAAAATTGCTGAAAAACTTAGAACTCGAAACAACCTACTCCACAAACTGACTGGCCCAACTTGGGGCGTTAGTGCTCAGGCACTCAGACATCAGCATTGGTACTCTGTTATTCGACAATCGAGTATTGTGCTCCTGTCTGGGCTTGATCATCCCATACTAAGCTAATTGATGTCCATCTCAACACAACAATGCGCATAATCTCTGGAACACTACATCCTACTCCTTTACCATGGCTGACAGTACTCATCAATATTCATCCTCCACATCTGCGTCGCCAGGAAGCAGATACAAAAGTGTTGATTAAGGTCTATGCCAGTAAGAAACTTCCACTGTACATTACTTGACTTCGAGAAGCTCAATCTGGTTAGGTCAGATGAAGGAAGATATGACAGCTATTTCAGCATGGAGTGTCGAGTGGTCTTCAACAGATGTTTAAAGCACTCCCTCATAGTTGAACCATCTGTATGCCCTCCTGGCTTCAACCTTCCAACATCTCTGGACCAATCTGAACCGCTTTCAGACAGGACAGGGTCATTGTGCAGTCAACCTTGTCCAATGGGACAGGCCATTGACTATTCCTATTGCTGTGGAACTCTACAGACCATGTCACATATCGTAAACAACTGTCCACTGACAAAGTTCTCTGATGATGAAGCTGTTGAATGGCTGAGCAGGCACTGCACACGATAATAAAAACTATTAAGATGTGTTCCCTCACTTTTTTATTGAGCTCTCTCAGTTCTTTATTTAGCACTAGACCACTGATAACAGGATGCACATGTATAACAGTTATAAACATTTTTAGCATAAATTCGAATTTAAGTTCGAAATCAAACATTTGAGACTCACTGTCATAGTTTATTTCAATTTCTTTATATTCGAGGAAGACGAAGGACCGCTCCAGTAACCTAAGAGATTAGAGCGTCCTCCTCCAATGCTGGAGGCTTTTGTCCCCTGCCGGGCCATACCAAAGACTTATTATAATGGTACTAGCAGTTGGCTGGCTCGGCCCTCAGCATTAAGATGATAGTGTTAGGACTGGTCGACTTGGTGTCAGGATAATGTGACAGGATCTGAATATAAAAGTAAATTTGCCAATTTTCTATTGCGTTTGGCACTTCATGATAATCACTCGTTAAGAAGAACGAAAATATGTAATATTACTATTTCCATTAGTAAAAGGCTAAAGTAATGCATTCTTTTATCTTCAAGGACAAAAGCAAAAATGTATTATCCAGCATTCGTCTAAAATACAAGTACGTTGGTACAGAAAGTTTCTAAATGATGCTGCAAATTGTGTAAGTTTCCTAGCCATATCTACTATAGGCAAGAAACTTGTCAAGTCATCTAAAGACAAAACGTTTGCGATTTAACCATACAAGTATATAATGGAACTATCATACAAGTTCATTCTGTCGCCCCGAAACCTGTAACTTGGGAGGGAATGGATTCACACGCCACTCGATGGAAACTGGAACAGCAGACTAGTATTATATGAAGAGCCTTATCCTTATTTAATGAAGGATGCAACAAGACACCTCTTCACGTCTATGGTCGATGTTGACATAGACAATCTTTAGTAATGTTATCAGATATCTGACTACCATTCTGTCCCATATCTCATTTTTATATTGACTTCTTAATTGCAAATATACATGTACATAATGTACTGAGAGTATTGGCAATTGCTAATTGATTTTACTTAATTCATGCAAAGGTATCAGATTTGATTGTCTAGACACGCACGTTGAAATTTCGCTTTTGACCTGTAGAGAATTATTGCATGGCAATCCATTGATCGTTTAATGACTCAGTTACATAGTGTTTGTAACCCTGTTACAGAGAGTCTGTGCGTTTAGTGACCCTGTTACATATAATTTGTGACTTGATAGAGTTTGTGCTTTCACAAAGAGTTGTTATTCGAAAATATTTTACTGTGGATAGAAGGCGTTGATGAAAACGAAAGGTGGTAGATCTGGCACCGCGTTACTCCACCAATCAAATTTGGTAGAATGTCAGCTGAATATTTCATGAGAAAGATTTTGTGCATGCTGAAGATTGTTTGAGGGTCAACGTATACTTCTGAATATGATATGAATATGATGTACATATAACAAATGGAACACAACTAGTTAATCAAGAAAAAAAATCACAAAACTAATTGGGATTAGTTTATTGACACATTGTAACTTGGTAACCTTTTTCCTTAGCCGAATCGCTGTGTTCCAAAATCTTCTTGAAATATTTGATCATCACTCTCAATAAGCACATGTAGAACTCAAAGTAACAAATAAACTCATTATTAACTACAATAATTGGACCGCTCCGGTGGCCTAGTAGTCAAAGCGTCCGCCTCAGATTCGGGAGGTCGTGGGTTCGATTCCTGGCCTAGTGACACCAAAGACTTACAAAAATGGTATTAACAGCTGCCTCGTTTGACTCTCAGCATGAAGTAGTTAGTGTTAGGACTGGTCGGCCTGGTGTCAGGATAATGTGACTGGGTGGGATTTGATGATACATGCTTGTGGCATGATGCCCAGTGCTATACATCACTATAAACTACCAAAATTCAAAAATCATCGCGAAATGACTAAAAAAAATTTAAATCTACGTTAAAATCCAAACCACAGACAAACAAACTACAATAATGTGTAATGTAACTTTTGAACTCCTATTTCCGTCAGCCAAGGGCTACATGCAGAATCCGAAAGCTTTGTTTCGTCAACAGTATGACCCACGACACCCCTACCCCTCTCGGGTACAGGAGTTCTTATTTCAAGCAGAGAATGGAGTCTTTGTTGGATGTTTTAACGACATTTACACCAGTTTATTTGGCTAAGTGCAAAGTTTAGTTCATTAAGTGCACGTTTAGTACAGATGCAGCCGACCCGAGTTGACCACGACAGGTATCGAATCTTGAAGCTTAGAACGCTGATAATCATCTAACGGAAGTCAAGACTGATTTGACCAATAAGAGAACGTCTGCAAAAGAGTGGATATAAAACATTTTAGCTGTCATGATGTTTTAATTAGAAACTTGTACAAACTTCTACGATTTCAGAATATAAAAAATAATACAATGGTGAGAACATCATGAGTAATTAACATAATGGGATAAATCAGTTAATTTTTTTTCTAAATTCACTGCCAATAAAAACTTATGTATTCCATAACTATTTGTTATTTTGGTAAAGCTGGTTTGGGTTTAACGCCAATTTTCAGTAGATAACAGGCTATAAATGGCTGCCAATAGATTTGGCGGGATAAAAGCTCGAAAACCCCGGGAAGAACCACCGATCCACAAGAAACTAATGACATGTTTTCTCACATTTCCACGATGGCAGAGCCGAGACTCTAACTCAAGCGAAAAGAGGTGAAATACCAGTGATCTGTAAAGGCGATGACCTTAGACAACTCGGGCGCCTGGGGCACTTTATTATTTTGGAAATCCATAGAATATGATGCGTGCTTTACATCTGTATCGAATCGTTAGTAGAGAGCAGATTCCTGTACTCGAATTATTGCAGCATGCATCAACATTATATTCATCTCGATGGATGGGTTATGATTACCGTCCCATCACTCAGAATGCCGATAGCACGTTCTGAGATAGTAAATTTGTAGAGCTCAGCAATTTTTAATTTTCTTGTCGTGGGGTATGGGGCAAAGAAGAGCGGGATTATTTATGAAAACATGAAATTCGGCACTGGTAAAGCTGCAACATATTCGTGCTTTGATTTATATAACAGAACAATCTATGATGTTCGTTATAATTGTTGAAAAAAATAATTATCTTGCAGTAAAATTTATTTTTTTATGTCGGCTCGAAAGACAATCCACTCTCGCACATATTCAAATGGTAGGTTTCATCGTTCAGATTAAGCTCGGTTTTTTGTTACTCTACGTCGTTCTACTTGATCAATAGTGTCTCAGTGGGTCATTAAACGGAACTTGTTTTCTCACTCACCTGACTTGTCGTAAAGCACAATTTTGTTAACCCATTGATTCAAGGCATTTTGCTGTTATCATTTTACGTATGACGAAACTTAGAATTCAGTTTGCACAAAGAGACAATCCTTAGTTTACAATCAAATTACAAGATGAATATCTTGTAATGCTTATTTAATTTTAACTATGACTATATATGAGGGTGGAAGCCGTCTAAACGAAACACTAGGACAATATAAATGTACGAGATAAATTTTGGTCTCCATATAGTCAGGAAACGTATACATCAAGATTGTATATTAGTTCGTCTGATTTGTGTTTCTAAAGGAAATGGAGAAAGCAGAAGCTAGTTCGTCGTCAGAGACGTCTGAGAAACCGATGTTACCTCCATGTAGAGTGTGCGGTGACCGTGCCTCGGGCTTTCATTATGGGGCATATACATGCGAGGCTTGTAAGGTAATCTCTCTCTCTCTCTCTCTCTCTCTCTCTCTCTCTCTCTCTCTCTCTCTCTCTCTCTCTCTCTCTCTCTCTCTCTCTCTCTCACACACACACACACACACACACACACACACACACACACAAAGACACAGAAATCTTAGTTTCACTGAGTTGAGTTTGATGATTATTGTACACCGACATTTAGTACACATGTATATTTACGTCATCGAGGACCTGCGGTAGGTATCATACTAATGGGGGTGGGGTAAGCATGGGGGTGATTGCCCCAGGCGCTTGAGATCTTGGGGCGCCAAAACCCCATTAGGCCATCGTCGTCTCTTCCGGGCGCCATTTACCCTCAGGTGCTCGACGCGAGCTTGATGTTAAAAAACAATAATCTGAAGGAAAGAAGTCATGCAGTGATAAAAATACCTCAGATTACCACTTGACCCGTTCTAACATTGGACCCTTTCTGTCAAACTATATAAGAAACTACACACATTAAACGAGAAAGAGACTACGCACATTAAACGACAATCTGATCTTTACCTATGAATGGAAACAAGAAAGAAATGGACCATATCTCAGGTCAATCCTAATAACATAATTAATCTATAATTAGTACTAGAAAATCAAAGAAAAAATGCAGGACAACTTTTTCACGGCGGTGGGGTTGAGGTGAAACAAATTCTAGCCCTCGAAAAACGTAACAAATATAGTTTTTCTCCGATTTATTGACCCCCCCCCTAATATTTATATCATTAAATTAGTTCCAAAAAGATGTGTATCTTGAGGTAAAAAAAAAAATATCCTGGTTGAGAAGAAATACACGTTTGCATCACCCTCCATTACCTTTAAATTATCTGTCCCTTTTCAGTAGATCAATTTACTGCTCATACTGAATGATAAAGGATTAGTGCAATATTAAATATTCACCATCTTTGTAACTTTAATGATATAGCACCTCATGCAATTTCCTTGACTTACTGCTGTGAGGGAATCAAGGCTGAATGGGAAGGGTTAAGTTAAAAAAAAATGCATTTTCCTAATGCTGTGTATGTTTGCTGCACTTATCTTGAACAAACTGCATGGATGAACATAATTAGGACAATGCAAAAGAGCAAACCAATTTCAGCAAAGCTTTACCGACAGCAGCAAACATTTTTTTTAGAAAGACGTCATCTACAGGTAATAGCTTAAGTTTTGTGCACTCAACATTAACACTGTCGTAGGTTTAAGTTATAGTTCAGATCTTAGTCGTACCAACATGTATTTTAGCCACATGAATTTCAAATGATAAAAAAACTTTGCCTGTTACAGATATAGATAAATAAATACCAGAATGGAAAATTCTTTCTTCCAACTTTGTGTGTGTGTACATACACACACACACACACACACACATACACACACACAGATATGTAGAGGACAGATAATTGTCTAATAGCATTATCAGAAGCCACAAATAATATTATCAAAAGTGATAGAGTTTAGAATCATAAATTTACATAAAACCAAGAAAATATTTTATGGAGTAAATTTGAACAATTCAATGATTTAATAAAAAAAAAATAATTTCAAAATTTAGCGAAAGTGTTTTTCATTTGAAATTGTTACTTGTATAATAGTTTGCAGAATTTAATTACAGTGCCAGTTCACGGTACAATGTCACTGTACCATTGCATTTAACATCCCTAATGCTTTTATATGTTCTTTGAAATATAACAGGCATTCTTTAGACGACTTCTTCAGAAAAAGACCATTAACTTGGCATGCACGTGTTCAAATGACGAGATGACTGAGCTCAACGAGAACGAAGTTTACCAATTGAAGATCACTTGTGCACAATGTCGTTACAAGAAGTGTCTTGATGTAGGAATGAGCAGAGATGGTGATTGTTTTTTTTTTTCTTTAATTTCTACTCCTCTTTGTATCATTTTCTGGCTCTTTTAACAATTTTATATTGTCTGATCGCAATTGTTGTGTTTTTAAGTTGAACCACAAGCCTGGGAGTGTTAAATTATCAAGTGATAACAGCCGTTTTACTGAAACTACGTTTTTGTTAACATTATGAAGTATTTTGTTTATGAATGTGACACACATATCGCTGATGGTTTAAAAATATCATCTGGTTCAAGTTAAAGAGTAATCATTATTTACAGGGTGGGGACAATGTGCCTGGAAGTAGTGCTTCACAGGAATTCTATCCCATCCCCGCCTCCGTCTTCGCCTCCGCATTTCAAACACAACTGCAGAGCATATCATAATACATTTTATGGTATTATATCTTTGTAAAAAAAATAATCATACTTTTAATTTTACTCTGAGTGAATACTTTTATACCGACCCAAAGTAACTCAACAACACAACCTCTAGTTATCAATAAGTCTTTTATTTATGGATTTGGATTTTGTACTGAAATCCTTTCAGGTGCTTGTAGAAAAAGAAAGGTAATTGACGAAAACAGAACTAACAATTCTCATTCACTTGTTTACATTCGGGTCTCGAATCAACCGGCTTTTTCTTGTTTTAATATCAGTATTTCCAATTTTTAGCCATTAAAATAGGACGATACTCACTAACGAGGAAGTCTGAAAACATAAAAGAGGTGAAAAGAATTGAGACTGACCCAAGGCTGTCAGATATGGACCAAGATTCCAAGTTACATCTTCAGACTCCAGGTCGTGCCTGGGAAGTTTCATCAAATATCATGCGCTCCACTGGTTCCAGTCTTGCAAAATCGAAGAAGTTAAATTCCATTTTTAACTTCCATGTCTCTGAGGATGAGATGGAAGGGATCATAGCTCAGATGATGAAAGCACGTGAAGAATTCCAAATGATTTATGAATTGCAGAAGGATCAGATTGCAAAAAGACAGCTAGAATATTCCGTAAGTACCATAATTAAATTAGTTTTATTTCCTGCTTCATCCTCCAATCAGGGTTTAAATAGTGTAGAATTGGATTGACTCTATCTGTCTTCCCATGTGTCTCTTACGCGATGCGTGTACA